TTTTTGGAAAACATTTCATCATGCTATGCTCATTTTTTTAATCTCATCAAAAATACCTATATTCAATAATTACATTTTTCAAAAAAATTTATGATGAAAAAATTTCAATAAAAAAAAAAAGTTTTAATTCATGAAAAAAAAAAATTAATAAAAAGAAAGATTAAAATATTTTTATTATTCATAAAATTAAATTTTTATTCCTTTTAATAATTTTTTAAAAATAAAATTTTAAATTTTTTTTTTTTTTTTGTTTTAAAAAAATGTTTTGAAATCAATTTCATTTTATTAAAATTCCAATTATACTTTTTTTATGTGTAAATTGTACATTTTAACATTTGAATTTTTAAAATATTGATAAATTTAATAAAATCTTACCAATTTCAATATTATTTAATTGAAAAAAGTTCTGATTTTTATATTTATAATGATTAAAATGATTTGGAAATTTTGCTGAAGAAAAATTTTTAGTTAACATAAATTTGTTTCCTGATCTTTGTTGTCTCAAAATTGTCTCAATTAATAAAAAAACTATATTTGTTTTAATAATCAAGAAGAATGAATATCCCACTAATTCAATTCTGCAGCAAATGTTGCAATAGCTGAAGATGTGAATTGAATCTGATTTTTACATATATTGTGAAACTCCAAAATAATTTAATTTTATCAAAAATTATCAATTTTTAAAGAAAATTTAATGTATAGTTATAATAAATAATAAAAAATTTTAAAATTGAAAATCATGCAATTCTTGGTTTAATTAAAAACATAAAAAAGCAAAAACATGTATAAAATTTTTCATTTTAATTTCATAAACAAATTTGAGCCAATTTTTTAAACATTTTATTTTTTCTGTCTTAAGGAATAAAAAAATTTTTTTTTTCCAATGTTTTTTTGCTTTCATTTTTTTCAAAAGTTTAATATAAGAAATTAAAACACAAAAAAGTCTAAACCTTTTTTTTTGATGTAAAAATTTAATTATTAGATAAAAATAAAAAATATTCAATAATTTTTCATTTAAAAATTTACAAATTTAAAAAATTTCAAAAATAATTAAATTTAATGTAATTTTATCTATTTTTTAAAAATCTTTATAAATTTAATAAAATTTTATTTTTTTCAAAAATTTAAAAAAATTTTTTTCATGTCTGATTTAAATTTTTTTTTTTTGTAAATAAATTTGTTTTTTTTAAAAATATTCATTTGTTTTGATTATATTGCATGCATTATTTTTTTTCTCTTTTTAATTGAGATAAATCATAAATTTTGTAAATATTTTCTATATTCTTTTTTGTCATTTTTTCTGCAAATGTAAAAATCAAAATTAAGTTAAAACATATAATGAATATTTTATTTTGAATTAATTTTGAAGTTTTAAACAAAGTATAAAAAATTAATTAAAAAATGTTTTTTTAAAAAAGAAACTTTCAATTAAATATACTAAACTTTTTCAAATATATTTTTTTTTTTTTTTTTTAAATAAATTTAAATACTTTGAAGATAAATTTTTTCTTTTTTTTTGAAAAACATTAATTTGGAAATTCATAAAAATTTAGCTCTGAATTGAAAAATACAAAAAAAAATAAAAATAAACATTTATTTAAAAATAAAAAAAGTTTTAATGGCTTTTATGAATAATATTTTTAAAATATTTTTCATTGAAAAAATTTTACAAAATTCTTTTCTTTTTCAATTTCAATTTCAAATACAAAATGTGATAAAATTTGTTTTCATATTTTAAAATTAAGTTTGAATATGTGTGATCTTTGAAAATGAAATTTAAAAGATCTTTTTTTATTTTAATTTAAATTTGAAAGCTTATTACAATCTGTGAAATTTTTATTTTTTAAATAATTTTTTAATATGCCAAAAAATGTATTAAAAAATTTTACAGCAAAAAAAGATAAAAAATTCAGAAATAATGTCACGTGATTTTAAGAGTTGTTTCTCCTTTATAGCGAAGATTTTTTTCATAAATTGCATTGATTTCTTGTCAAATTAACGAAACGACCATCATCGTCGCATTTTTTCAAAATTATTAAATTTTTTTTTTTTTTCTTTTTTCTAAATATTTTCTTTCATTTTTTTTTTTTTAAATATAATCAATTTTTTTTATTTTTCAGTGAGAAAAATACTGCAATTATTAATTTTTTTCAAGTTTTTTTATTCAATTTTAGGGATGAAAACAGTGCAAAATTGGACATATCTTTTCAAAAAAAAAGTACCTAAAAAAAAAATCAATAAAATATTAGACTTTTGAAAGTATTTAATTTTTAATAATTACTTTATAGTTAAATAAGCTGGTTCTCTTAAGATTCAAAAATACTGTTACTTCTGCCCTTCCTTCCGATAAATTGCCCTGGCGTTAGTTGTCGGTACATTGACGTAAACGTCAATTCACACTTCCAAAACCAATCACCACGGTTAGACGCGCTTCTCTTATTCCCAACTAAATATTTTCTGCTAAAAAATTAAGTAATATTTGTTTCCAATTACATTAAGTATACATTAAATTTTCTAATTTTCCTAAAACAACTTTTGAAAAAAAGTATAATAATTTCATTTTGATTATAAAGTTGACAAAAATGGCTGACATGATCGATTTTATGTAAATTTTGCTGACTCAAAAAAAAAAAAAAATTTTTTTATAAAATTTCTGACGTGCTTTAAAAAGATATTCAAAAATACTTTGGTCTTTCTACTTAATAATAACATTTGGACGATAAAAATAAACAATTGGACGATAAAAATTGTTTAATTAACTTTGGGGCCTTTTTTCATCAGGCACTTTTCAGCGAAGTGTTAAATATATCTATATTAGAAGGAATTGTTTTACAATTAATTTCCAGACTCATTTAGACCAAATGGAGGCAATAATCGGCGAAAAAACATCTAAACTGAAAAAGAAAGGCAATAATAATCCACCAGTATAAGTTTAAACTGTATGTTTCTTTAGTGATCAGACAAAAAATGTTACACCTTGTCTGTGATGTTTTCACTTATCCTCCATATTCACGAGAGATTGCACTGTCGGATTACTATTTATTCCGGTTTTTACAGAATTTATTAATGAAAAAGTATTTCAATTCACTGTAAGATTGCAAAAGACTTGTAAAGCAGTTGTTTGGTGAAAAAGAACAATTGTTCTGAGAGGATGGAATTATGAAGTTGTCTGAAAGATAGCAGAAGTTAATGGAACAAAAAGTTTAATATATTGTTCTATGAAGTTAATATGGAAATTTAAAAAAAAAATTTGTTTTATAAACTGAATAAACTTTTTAAAAAAGCCAATAGAAATCAGAAATACAAAATCCAGTTGACTTGTGAGAAAGCTGAGCAAGAATATAGGAATGTTGCCACTGAAAATAGATAAGTTAAGCTTTGGGTACATTATACTTGTTGGACTTTTACACAAAGAAAAATTAATGTTTGAATAGAATCACATCAAAGGATCAAAGCATAGATAAAAAGAAGGAAGATTGTAAGTATTTTCTCCCTTTGTGGCAAAAGACAACTCAGAGTGAAGAGGGACTGAACAATACCGCTTTTTGAGAGTGTACCATTTTTATTTCTTTAACGCCAAAGATTTTGCTTTACTTATAATTATTTGTTTCATTGTTGCTTCTACAAATCAAATCTTCTAATATTTCTGGAGATCATCTTCTCTTTTTCTTTTCTTAATTAGATTTTTCGTGCACCCTTCTTGTATTGGTCTCAAGCGCAATGTTTTGTCTCAGCTACCACGACAGCATTGTATCCATGGGTTACAATTTACTTGGACCGAGTTACAAACGACATTTTCTTTTAAGCGTTTCTACATCCAGATTGAGTTTCCTGCTAAGAAAATTGCCCTTGGCTCCTTTCTATAAACCACAGTTGGTATACAAATGTCCTGATGATAGAGTTGTTTAGTATAACCTTTTATTCCTATTTTCCGAAATATTTCCAATATGATCCATTCACCAGTCTATCCCACCGATATAACAGTACATTATCAAATAACAACTTCGAAATTATAGTCATTTATGATATATTTAGAATTGAAATATTCAATGGTTAATCACTGTGGGGATGGTCCTATATGACCTCAAATCTACCGATGTCACATCGGTTGCAAGTTTATCTGAGATTAAAACATTCGGCTTTGAAGTCAATGATCGAAAACATTTTTCATTATCACAAAGACACCTATTCCTACGAGAATAGTGAATTTACATTTGTTAAGAAAACTTTATAGGTGGATTATGAAGTGTTAATTGCATATTTCGTCCACAATACACCCCATAACAGAATCTTTTTAACATATACACTCATGTACACGTATACATGTAGTATGATGCCAGAATATATATTATATGGAATTCGCTCCAGACCATCAAAGACGCCAGATTCCAGCCACTGAATGCAGAAGTACGTGACCTCATACCAGCATCCGGTATTGCATGCTTGAGAGTGAGAATGGTGTACAGAATTATATATAAACAGCAACACCAGGCAATCTCTCATATATCGTTGAAGGAGAATGAAGAGCCCATGTATCAAACAAGAGGAGTCCAAGCTCGCTCGCATATCACGGACTGATTGAAAGTAACAAACGAATTATTGGAGTGAAGAAAATGTTATGCAATGAAGATTCAAATCTCGTGTTAATAGGTACCCCCACTCTCATATACGCATAATTTTCAGCAAATGACACTAATTTACTGATTTTAATATAAAAAGATATTAATAAGAGATGAAATTGTACGTAAGAGTGTATCTGTAGAAATAATAATTTATTCAACATTATTTGAATTATATTCTTACTTTTCAATATAATTTTTCAACTTTCTCTTAATTACATTTAAAATATTAAGAACATTATGTAATATTATTTAATATTTAACAGTTTATTATAAAATGATTTCAATGCAATTCTATAATTTTTATAAATTGAGATTTGATATTTACTTATATGATGAAGAAATGACAATTGTTTATAAATTGAGATGAATACATGATTATTACTGACCTGTAATATAGATCGACGTTCTTCCAGTTATTGGAACAATATAACCAGAAGCAAATGACCCAATTGCAGCACATATTCCAAAACAAGTCATCAAATAACCAATGACATCGATTCCTAGATAACATGTCATGAAGGCCTAAAAATAAAAAAACAAAAACAATACTGATTGAATAATTCGGATAATAACTGGATGGTTAATAACAATGTTTTACTTCATACTTAATAAAGTAATGTAATAATTCTTCAAGTAATATTACTTTTTCTCTTTTGATATATCAACAGCATTTGGGGAAGACAGAAAATTACTTAACTGTTATAGTTTTATAAATATTTTTAAGTTAATACAAAAATATAATTATTAACTGTATCAGTGTATTCAGTATTTGTAGATTTGTACATGACGGTTGAACCAACCGTATGAGGCGAGTAAAACACTTCTTTCTATTACTAGCGTACTGAATGGGATTCATTTGGTGACTTTCTCCGACACGACCCTTGGATTGATATTCTTAACCTTCCTATTGAGAATTGTACTACAGATTTCTCCCTCTGTCGATGTTTTGTACCTTCTCAGAAATACCAGGTGGAACCACAATATTCTCCTTGGTTCACACCTTCAGCCGCTATGGCCAACAGAAATCAGTTTTCCAGGTCTAAGAGCGTAATAGTTCCGAATACAACAGACACCTTTTTGTATCAGCTCGTAATTGTAAACGCGTCCTAAAAAGGTTAAGTCTTTGTTTGCTGGAAGAATGAAGCACAGTAACAAGTTTGGTTCTCCTGACTACAGGCGGCTCTGAGTCTGTTAAATAAGAGTAGATCTTCTATTCCTCTTCACTTCACTCAATTTGAGGTATAAATATCTGCTGACAAATCCGAATGTTTTGTTCGCAAATTCTCTTCAAATACCACTCTTGACTTATCTAAAGTATCTTTTTGCACTTTCCATTTACTTTCTATTGTGTGTTATGCATATATATATATATATATATATATATATATATATATATATATATATATAAATAACTCCGTCCATGGTTTCTACTATGATCTCTAATCTGGATCCCTACAATAGTAACTTAAGAAATATTCCCTCTAAGCTCTACAATAAATGTTTGTTAATTCTTGCCTTCCTGCTTTTTGGAAAATCTCTTCTGTAGTTCCAGTCTTTAAGAACCCAGGCGAACCTCTTGATCCTTCTAACTGCCGGCCTATTAGCCTTTTATCGCTTTTTGGCAAAGTACTCTTTTGACTCTATTCAACTTTGAATTGGCTAAGCATCTCACATCGCAGGGTTTTCTTTCAGATAAGCAATATGGCTTTCATTTCTCTAGGTCAACTACTTATGTATTAACGATTATTGCTGAAAGATTTACATAAGAATGGTAAAGCTCGGCTGTTACTTTAAATATCTCGACGACACTTGACGCGGTTTGACATGCTGGTCTCCTTCACGAGTTGAAAGGTTATAATATTTCTGGGTGAATTTTTGAACCGATTAAATCTTTCTTATCAAATTGCGAAATGAAAATTGTCTTTTAGATCTTTTTGCATTAAGCAGGTGTCTTCCAGGGCTCTATCCTTGAACCTACTTGGTTCCTAATTTAATTCCTGGCATCTCGGCTTCAGTCATTTTCCCACTGCCGTAACGTAGCTTTCCTGTGTTTTTTCTATAAATATTTTCATACTAATTGTTTTGATGAACTTTCTTCTATGGCACCTAGACTTTATGAATTTAAGTGCAGTACTAGATTGGCGGCATTTTACAGTTGAAATGGCTAAATGTAACCGTAAGTTCTATGCTAACAGTTTCTTCTCTCGCTCTTCTCATTTGTGGAACACCCTTCCATCTTTTTGCTTTCCAGTCAACTTTGATCTTTAAAAATCGAAATGCAATATTTTCTTAATTCTTGTTCTTTTATTCTCCTCCTTAATAATATTTTTTTTCTTATATTCTCTCATACTCAGTAACTCATTGCGTCTTAGTGCCTTTGTTGCCTTGCTTGGGGTGAAATTATTTTAAAAAACAAAAACAACAAATAAACAAACAAAAGCAACAGCGGTTGGCGAACAGAATTAAATGTAGAAAGGCCCAGTTTTGTGTTATAAAATTGGGAAAAAATCATACGAAAAAGCTTGATTACATTTAATGAGTATTGGAATTAAATGTGGAAAATGAACTAATTATGTAATGTTAATTAGTTAAGATAAATTAAATGGGTTATTACCGAATTGAACTGGAATATTAAGTTGAAAATAACATAATTTAATATAAATGTCCCTGTACTAACTACACTCGCCAAGTTGGACGAAAAAGATGACAAATGATAAATCACTTCTTTAGCCAATGTGGAAAAATATCTATAAAACTGTTTTGTTTCAGTTGTTTACATAAAGATCTATCAGTCAGATTTACGTGGGTTCTTAACTTTGGAGAAAAGGCTTTATAGAACTACATCAATCAATCAACATGTCATGCAATTTTATTTGCTTACATATTTGTCGATAGTTTGATCGGAAGAATAGTTTTCAGAAAATGAATCTGAACTTTCTCAAGAAGGGAACTGGTCATATACTTTCATGAAATTGTTCCATTTCTGTAACTGTGTATGACATAATGTTTTCACACTGTAGTGTACTTGTGAATTTGTAGAATATGCAACATCTAACTATAAACACCTGCAAAATATGACTGGCATTTGCAGATACAGTTCAGTAGCAAAACAGGTCACCAAGTTTCATCTATTACAATGTCGATGACAGCTTCTTCACAAACTTCACTCCGTAAAGAGAAAGTGGTTAACTTCTTGTCGGCAAGTGAACTTCAATCAGTAATAGTCACATATACTAACTTAGTATCTAATTAGTGTAGCACAGCAAAACCGAATCATTGAATATTTTATTTGACATTATAGAAAGTCTTTAGACGGTGAAACAGTACTTTTGATGGTCTTTTTTGATCGCTAAATATTGAGCTACAACTAGTTTTCGTTTAGAAATTATAGCGTATAGAAGATTAGAAGTATCTACTGTTGATTGCATAAATAGAGACATCGTCTCGTGATTGTCACAACTACATAGATTATACGTTAAATCTTTCAAAAAGTAGCACAGGGATTGATAATTATAGTCTTGGATACTGAGTAGTTACCAGCATACGAGGACGTAAGAATTTTTCAAGAGTACGAGACAGTTTGATTTAAGGCTATTGAAGTACTTGTGACTGATGTTAATTAGATAGTTTGATATCACCTTGTTTTGATTGCAGAAGGTACATAGGTGCACGCTTATGGAGTTGACTAGGATTCATTAGAAAAATTAAGTGCAACTTTAAAAGCCATTGGAAATGATACACTGGCTAGAAAAATAAACCAGTTGAACCAGGTTGCGGAGCTTCACATTCATGAAAAGGGTAGACAGTTTTTAGTGAAATCCAATGAGAGGCAGTCCCCTAAATAGAGCGAATTTTCTATTCTGATATCTGATTGGTAGCGATTGCAGTAGCGATTTGTTCCTAAATTCCAGTATTAAGCAGTGAAGAAGTGAAGAATAGTTTAATTTTGCGGTTCCTTTATTTCACAGACCTGTAATTATTCAGTTTTCTCAAATCTTATATTGTTCATTTGTTAATTGAACGCGGATAGATTTCCTAGTTCTCTTCTTGAACAATTGAAGAATTAAATGCTTTGCAAAATGTATGAAACCTACATTTATTCAAAATATAAAAGCTCCAAAACAATTGAAGTATACCCGTTGATGAGCTAACCGATTGCCTAGCTCATCAACGGGTATACAATGAAAAATAGAATTATTTACACGCATAATTTAACATCAATTCTAACATGGACGAGGGTGTGATAAAAAGTTGTCGACCCGGCTAAGAATCATTTGGACAGATTTTAAAAAGTGGATCGAGTCGAGAACTTGTATATTTTTTTAATTTCTTGAGAGGAACAAAATTGTCTGTGAGTCTTCTCAAATGTTATAAGATATAAATTACAACCTCCTTATTAATCATCAAACAGTATGTAACAATCGTATATCGTGAGATACAGACGAAAGAAAAATGCACTTAGAAAGCAACATAATATTTATTGATAGATTTAATTGTTTTTTTTTAATAATAAACTAGTTATAGAATAAATTATTTCGAAAATGTTATTTCAATGTGTTTTTCTTTTTTTACTGTCTTAAATTCAAAATAACGTTTCTCCAAATAAAGATTTTTTAAATAATTTTTACTAGATTGACAATCGCTAAACTGTCTTTATTTTCTGATAATAAAAATAGGACTGCATCATCTCCAGTGAAGACAGTGACACTAAGATAAATTTTATGGGTAAAATAATATATGCTGGGGATATAACCCCAGTGGGAAGCATATAACCTGTCCATTCTAATACTAAACAGGTCGTATTTCTTCTACATGGTCAGGCTGTAATTAGTTACAGTTCGAAGATGCTCATTTGAAAATATCACAATTGTTGAAAGATGTGGATTTTCACATTCAATACAGAGAGAAAATTTTAGATAGATGTTAACGTATGACTTCATCGACGACATTCAATTAAAATAACATTTTGCCTACCATGCATGTTCGATGGAATTTTAAAAAAGCATTTTATACTTTCAATACATTTCAGTTATCTGCATTCTAAAACCGAAAACTTAAGAATTGATCATTTGAAGCTAAAGACAACGTGGAAATATATTTCAAATTTCAATTTGATAATACAAAACTTAAATTAAAGGAACATGCATTACTGCTGACCAATGGAAAATGTGCATTGTTGTCAAATTGTAAATTAGAAAAAAATGTAATGAATTACCTTTGTAACGTCGGCTGAAATGAATGAGATGAGGACACCGCAATAGATGATTAAAGGAGTAAGGAGCAACCATTTTGGTTCTGTCCATAATCTGAGCACGGCTATCAAGTCAGAAGTGAACGAGTCTTCGTCTTGTTCTATCTTACGTGTCAGGTACACGGCGTCCATAAAAAATGCTATAAGTAAGACAGAGAATATCAAACAAATCGAAAAGATTCCCGTTAAAAGGAAACGCATTCCTGAAGAAATGTCAAAGCTGTTGTGGTTTCTCCAAACATAATGACAGAAATTGGGTCCACAAATGTCTTCTTGTAGTGGAATGAAAAGATCACTTTCTTGTAATGTAGTGACAGAAACTGGGGATGATATGGTTGTCAAAGATATCAACGATGGTGATGACGCGTTCAAAAGAAGTATTGATACGTTTTCCTGTGAGAAAGGTGATTGCAGAGCATCATAAGAGTCATTAATAACAAAAGTATTCAAGTTTGGCTTGGTAGTAGTGTTTGCATTCACAAGGGGAGCAAATTCCATCATGAGAGAAGTTACAAGTGAACCAATGACTCGAGCTATGGCATCGAATAGAAACAGCATACCAAAATATTTACTCGAAACTCCTTCAATCGATTTGTTATAAATTTGTGCGGCGACTTTGGATATATGCGTCATGTAAGTTCCAAGTGCCGTCCACATTTTTCTTGGCTGATTCCAGCAATAGCTGAAGCAGGAACCAGTGTGTAGAAGGACGGAAAAGCGTTGGCAGTAGAGTAGGCAATATGGAATAAAATGGCGATGATGAGAGTGAACTTTGGGCCAAACCTGTGCACAATGGCTGTAGTGAAGATACAACCAAAAACAAAACCACCATAAATGCAAGCTAACGATGTGAGGCCAAGTCCTTTTTCATGATTCATGCTACTCTGTAGATTTCGAAGAGATATGTAAGCCACACTGAACAGCATATGACCCACACAAACAACAAGCAGATTCTTGAACGGATGTAGTGGGTTTGAATATGTTTCACACCTGAAGAAAGATAAAGATTTATTACAGTTAATTATGACAGCTTTATTTTATTTACATCTACACCTAATTTATCGAACTAAAATTGTGCTTATCAAAGGATATCAGATTTTATATTTATTAGATTAGGAACCAAATCACCAATAAAAAATAAATAAAAATAAAATAAACTCTTTCGCATTACGCAAAAAAACAAACAAACAAAAAAATAAGCAAACAAACTAGAAACGAAAAGCACATAACGAACCGATCTCGATTCGATAATTCCAAAATGAAGGTCTTTCTCTTTTCACCGCGTGTCTTTTTTGGGATCAGATGTTCGCGTATGAGTTCATTAACTTGAATCCCGACGTGAAATAAATCATAAATCATAGCATTCATCTTCTTCTACTTGCATATTGTAGCTAGCAGAACCTGATTTCATCTTGTGAATTCCATCTGTAATGAACAAGACCTAAAGTTCATCTCTATATTTGTGGACTGTGCACACCCTGTGAACCAGAAAAATACTTTTAAACGTATACAGGTCCAACGATTGCTTTTCAATGCCAACATGTCCTCTCTATTTGTAAAATTGGTTTAACACGCTCTCCCCACTAATATTTTCCTACATTTAGCTAATTACTGCGTTACTCTTTGGATAAAGTATTTTCGCTGTTACTAACTTTTTTTTCCATTGGTTTTCATTTCTTTTTCCGTTCCGGTTCCTGACCAGAGATCTAAGGTCAGAAATGGCATCATGACATTTTTCACTGAGCATTTTTGAAAAAAAAATCGCACATATTTTGCATTGATAAATCCCTTCGTAATGTGTGGGTTGTATTTGTAACTACATTTTTTTGTATTTCTTTAAGGCATGGACTACCAGGGATTCCTTCAATGAGTCTATTGGAATATTTTCCAATCAATCCGAGGGCTCCAACTACAACTGGAATTGTTAATGTCCTCATGTGCCACATTTTTGAGATTTCGATTTCAAGGTCCTTGTATTTTGATAGTTTTTTTTTAAGATCTTCAAAGATACATTACAGTCTGCAGGGACTGCCATGTCAAAAAGGAGGCACATTTTGTTCTTGCGGTCTCTGATCATAATGTCTGGGCGATTAGCTTTGATTGTTCTGTCTGTGTGTATTGTAAAGTCCCATAAAATTGTTACAGTTCCTATCTCTGTAACCGGGTCTGGGTGGTGTTCATACCAATTTCTTGCAGTTTCCTTCCCGTAAGTGTTGCAGATTTTCCAGTGCAGATATTGGTCCACTGTGTTGTGCCGTGTTTTATATTCAGTGGGTGCCAATACCGTGCAACCTGATACAAGATGGTCAATTGTTTCTGGATATTTATCACAGAATATGCATTTTGGACTGATACAATTTTCGGTACATGTGCTTGGTAATTTCTAGTTGGTAAACATTGGTCCTCTGTGCAAGAAATAAAAAACTTCAGTTTCAGCTTTTAACCCTGCACTACGTAGCCACTGATGGGTACGGGGTTTGTCTACATCAGTTTGTTTGGTACGAGCAGAGTATTGGCCATGAAGTGGTTTATCTTGCCATCCTTTCTGTATCTGGTCGGTTGCATTTGCCTTTGCTTTCTTTTTTTAAGTATTTTGCAGATTCAGTCGGTGAATTATGCTTTACTTGTATTTCTTCACCCATTTGAAACTCCATTTTGAACTTTTTGGCTTTTTATTATTGAATAAAATTTTACTACTTTTTCATGTTCTTTGACACAGATCATCATCCAGTCTTCTGTAGTTTCCAGGTATATTTGAAGGCCAATTGTTGTAGTTTTGTAAGACAGTTCTAGTTGAACTAATCCTCTGCCTCCTTCGGATCTGGGCACATACAGACGATCAACATCAGCCTTGAGATTAGGCATACGGTGGCAAGTGAGAAGCTTTCTCGTTTTGGCGTCCATTCGCTTAATGTCAGCTATGGTCCAGTTAAGGATGTTGAAACTGTATTGCACCACAGGTACGGCCATGGTGGTTATGGCTGATATTCTGTGTTTTTTTTTCAATAGCTCAGTATTCAGTACCAGACGCACACGCCTGTAGTATTCTTTTCTTTATTTTTCCTTCATTTAGGTATGCTGTATTCCATCTCCTTTGCTAATTCCTAGGTACTTATAGGCTTCTTCTTGTTCCAGTTCCCTAATCTTTGTGACAAAATCTAAATCTATTGAGTGTGTTTCTGTAATTCTCCCTTTCTTGAATGTTACTTTTGCACATTTATCTAATCCGAAATCCATACCTATGTCGTCACTGAAACATTTTACAGTATTGAGGAGACCCTTCAACTCATTGTCGTCTTTGGCAAAGAGTTTGAGATCATCCATGTAGAGTAGGTGATTGAATACTTTCTTGTTTAGTTTGTAACCATAGCTATTATTGTTTAGTTCATGCGTAATGGGGATTAATGGATCTGCAAAACAGGAGTGATAGGGAGTCTCCTTGAAAGATCCCTCATCGGATATTTGGTCGATCAGAGATGGAAGTGCCTCTAGTGTGATTTAGGTGTAATATGGTTTTCCACATTGCCATGCTGCGTTTAAAGAAACTTACTATCACGGAGGAGACTTTGTACATTTCCAAAGTCTTAAGTATACAAGAGTGTGGCACACTATCAAAGGCTTTACGCTAATCTATTCATGCTGTGCTAAGATTTTTACATCGTCTCCTGCAGTTTTTCAGGATCATTTTGTTTATCAGTAGTTGATCTTTGCAACAATATGAACCTATCCAACATCCCTTCTGTTCCAGTGGAAGAATGTTGTTTGTTTCGAGAAAAGAGTACGGTTCGTCAGGACAGACGTGATCAATTTATATATGGTGGGCAGATATGTTATTAGTCATCTGTTTCACTTGTTTTTGGCATGATATTATTATTATTATTATTATTATTATTATTATTATTTCCTTTGATTTCTGTTGCATACACATTTCCTTCTGGTTTCCAAACGGAGGCCTAAGATCAGAAATGGTTTCATGACATTTTCCATTGATCATTTTTTTGTAAAACAAACTAAGCTGTCACACACATTTTACATAGATAAAGCTCTTCGTAATGTGTGAGCTGTACGTGTGAGTACAATTTTTTGTATTTTTTTAAGACATGAACTACCAGAATCCCTTCAATGAGTCTAACGGGACCTTTCTCAATCAATTTGATGTTCTTGTGCCACATCTTTCAGGTTTTCACTTCAAGATCCTTGCATTTTGATAGCTTTTTTAAGATATTCAAATATGCATTACAATCTGCAGAGACTACCATGTCAATAAGAAAGCACATCTGCTCTTGTGGTCTTTGATCACAATGTCTGGGCGATTAGCTTAGATTGTTCTGTGTGTGCGTATTGTAAAGTCCCATAAAATTGTTACAGGTCCTATCTCTGTAACCGGGTCTGGGTGATGTTCATACTAGTTTCTTGTAGTTTCCTTCCCTTAAAAGTTGAATATTTTCCAGTGCAGCTATTGACCCACTTCATCATGCCGAATTTTATATTCTGTAGCTGCTAACATTGTGCAACCTGATACAAGATTGTCAATTGTTTCTGGATATTTATCACAGAAATTGTATTTGAGGTCAGAATTTTTCAGTATGGTAATTTCTAGTAAGCGAGCATTGATGCAAGAATAAAACATCAGTTTCAGCTTTTCACACTGCACTACGTAACCGCTGATGAGTACGAGGTTTGTCTACATCAGCTTGTTTGACACGGGCATGTAGAGGCTTATCTTGCCATCGTTTCTGCATTTAATACATTGTATTTGCTTTCATTTTTGTTTGTTTTTTTTTTTTGACGCTGCATTAGGTGTATTATAGTTTATTTGCATTTCTTCACACACTTGAAACCTCCTTTTGAATTATTACCGAATAAAGTTTCTTCAGTATTAAAGGAAGCCAACAAATTAAAAAGATAATTTCATGTGGGTGAAGAAGTGCAAATAAACTACAATTATTATTATTATTATTAATTAAGGTTAATGTTTTCAATTAGATTGTTTATAGGCTTGATCTTGGGTTGGTTATTTTATCGATTTTGTTTTGTTTCACTTTATTTTTATCATTTATTTAATATTACACACTTTCTTCGGTTCTAAATTTTACAATTTGGTTTCTTATGTGTTGTGAGAATGTTATGCTATGTGCAAATTTTTGTTGTTTTTTGTGTTTACTATGGATCTAACAGTATCTTGGTATACGACCTTGGCTTGTAGGCAGATGCCATTTAGTGGGTATTCATGCTTAGTTCGGTAGTTATATCTGGGGTTGTAGGCGTTTGTGGCGTACTGGCAATTTTTGTTGTATTTTTTATTTTTTAGAATTTGCAGCATATTTTCAGTGTGGTGATAGATGAGTTTTAGAGTGATCAATATCTTGTACATTTGGTTTGATTTTGAGTACTATTGTTTTTGAGTTTGATGAATATTTTATCTATATTCTATTTTATATTTTTACTGAACTAATAATGTTTCTTTTGTGTCACGTTTTTTAAAATTCTATTTAATTATGCTGCGAATGTTTTGCTGAAAAATTTCTATTCCTTCATAACGTTTCATAATCATTTTTAGGATTCATTGAAAATACTTTCAGAAGAAAAGATGTCGGGTAATTTGCGGTTGATGGATCGTGGGATTTTATAATATATAAATGGTTGGAGGAAGTGTGGAAGCAAAGTGAGTTGTTGCTCGATTTCTTAAATAGTTGATATGGATTTTTTTGGAAGTTGAAATTTATCTTGAAAAAGAGTAAGTTATGGATTATGGAAATGCTATGTGTTAGTTTGGAAACATGTTTAAGGTATACATCGGCAAAAGCACCCCAAGACGGCAAATCAGCAAGGGTAAAACCATCTTGTAATTGTAAAACCGGAAACATTTGACCAGACGAAGGCACCTGTAATTCGGAAAACGTGGTACACCAGGCTACCATTTTCTCCAAAGACATAAAGGCATACATAGGAATATCCGCTGGAAATTGGAAACAAAGGCTATACACCCACCGACATTCATTCTCTGAGAAACCAAACCACTCTATTCAAGCATTATTAGAAAATTAAGGATAATAACCTCACCCCAAAAATCAAATGGGAAATCATCTATCAGTCCAGAACCCCTAACAACTTCCGGGATAGATGCGATCTGTGTATAAAGAAAAAATCGCAATAATCAAGTACACAAATGATAACCAATTATTAAACCAACGAAACGAGCTTATCTTCAAGTGTAGGCATAAAGATTTTTTTTAAAATTTTTCTTTTTTTGCCGCATGAATTTTGGGAGAATGACACGGGAAATGATGGTTCGTTGATAAGGATATTAGCACATATGGGTGCTATTTATAATGTGTATGAGAGAGAGAGAGAGAGAGAGAGAGAGAGAGAGAGAGAGAGAGAGAGTAAAATAATAGTAACTAAAATCATAACCAGTAGTAATTCTTATATGAACTAGTGGAGGTTAGTATTTCGCTGGCAAAAAAACAAAAAACAAAAACAAAAAACTAATTTCCCAAACATACATATGCACATTCAGTATATGAAAGGGGTAAAGTACTGATGTATTGTGAATATTGGAGTTCAATGTAACTAGCTATTTAGAATAACTTTCTCGAGTCTGGCAACTTAAGTGCAAGTTTCAAATTTGGATGTTCTTGTAGTGATACTAAATAAACACAGAGAACCGGATGTTAACCCTAAGACGTCCAAAGAGATAATGTCATAAACTGGTTTGTGTGCATGAAGCTCCTCGCATTTGTTCCGGTTAAAAATGAATAGATAAGAAATTCTAATAAATAAAAGGCCTTAGCCAGCCAAAAGCGTTCGCGCCCAAATAATAAATGATTTCGACTGAGCTCTTGATACCAAGAACAGGTATAAAGAGACCTCTTTTTCAATCAAAACTCAGAGGGGAAAACATTAAAAAGATCTCCGCTTACCTCTCTCACCCTCGCAGACTCTTACCTCTCTCACCACTTCACAAATCAACACAAATTTTATATTATCTTAAAGTTAATTCTTTTAACTCGTCTGTTTAATTGGACTTTTGTTTCCATATACATACATCCTTCAAAGAACATTTGCCACTGACTTTAGCAATTTGTATTTTGAAATATAAAACTTTTGCCGTTTATAATACTTGATTTATTTTATTTCATGTCTATTCTATTATGTGGTTTAATCTATTCAATGCCTAAACCCCAACCAAAAAAGTATTCCACAATTACCATATTCTCATTGCTTTAAGTAATTTAGAAATAGCGAAGACTTTTAACTTACGAAGACGTTTGTTGAGGAAATGCTAGAAAATTACCAATAAATTTTATCTTTACTATAGTAAATAATTTAAATTCTCTGTGGACTTATCCTTATAAATAATATAAATATTAAACGCCCCAAAAGAGAATTTTTCGAAATTTCATGAAATTGAATAAGTGGGGGTAACAGATGTAAAAATAAAAAATGACAAAAATTTTCTAAAAAAAAAAAAAAAAAAAAAAAAGAAAAGAAAGGAAATGGATAAAAAATATAATTTAATAATCAAGCAATCCTTTTGTCGTTACTCTTAATACTAACATAAAGATTTTGACGATAAAACTTTGATTTTATTAAGCTTTGTGCTTTTTTTAATCATGTATGTTTATTTTTAGAGAATCTTTGAAGGTACCTATATAATTTTTTTTTTTAATGAAATTATATTATGGAATCCTCCATACTTGCCTGTCACCCCCTAAGGCAAGATGCACTCTTCCCCAAATTAACCTTTAACAAATCATCACTTCACTTTTCCAAACTCAACTTCTCATTGGACACAAAAATGTGGCAAGTTGAGACAAATTCTTTTTTTCCCGCGCAGCTGTCTGGAGCCTATTTGAAAAGCCAAAAAACTATATATAAAAAAAAAAGAATCGCTCGACTTGATTCAAGTCAGTCAGACACTGAGTTTCGAGAGATGTCAGCAGACTCCACGCGTGCCAAAACACTGACTCAATAACACTACCAGCCTCTCATCAACTCAACACAACTCGCACTACTATTGCCGCGTGAAAAAACTTAACTAACAATTTACTAAAAAAGTGACATTATCACTACGAAACAGTAATTGTACATTTAATCAATTTTAGCATATCAGTCAAAGGCACACAATTCTTCATAACTTGAATCAACACTTACAATTGTCACACACATACGCACTATTATTTGAACTTACACAATTGACATTTTACCTTGCAGAAATCAAATTGTTTTAATTTCCCAAACAAACTTAAATCATCAACATTCATTCACGAAATCTCTGCATGGACAATCTTATCTCACTTGCCACGTTTAGCAAGCAACCTATCATCACTTTGTGTATGTTAAATATATATATAAATTCATGTTATTGTTGAAATCTATAACTACGTTGTTTTTTCCTTGATTTCTTCAAGTTGTATTGTCTTCATATGTTCATTTAATTTATTTGTTGTGGATAAATACATAATGTACACGCACATTTTAGGACTTCACACAATTTCACCTTCTGAGACATCTTACTTAGCATAAATTCTGCAACAATATATATACATATGTGTGTGTTTATAATTTCTTAAGCTTTTGCTTAAGAAATACATACATGTAATATATGCGTAGTGTTTATCGGCAGTAGTTCGCTTAAATTTGAATAATAAAATTCTTTCAATACTGTTACTATCATTAAACACATTGCGCTACTGATAAAGTAAAAAGCAAATTATACCAACAAAAATGTCGCTGAACATATTTGACTCTCATTCGTCTTATTTATTTATAAAATAACAAAGATATTTTCTTGTAATATTCAAATTGCCTGTTGTTTTTAATTAACTACTTAAAATGTATTAGCCTTATTTTTGTCAGCTTAATGAATATGTATTTTGTGTAGAGCGTATGTTGTGAGTACCAGAGAAAATTTAATAGATTGATATCGATGTTCGCGAATAAATAGATTATCAGATTTTTTTCTGTTAAAAATTAGCAAAGTTGAAATTCGTACTATGCTTCAGTAAGGATTACCGCAACGAAGAGTAGGGAGTTTTAATCAATTTGAGTCTTGAGCACGAAACTCAACAAAGCGGAGTTAATTACCATGCTTCAATAATAAATTAGAATTCAAACTTACCGAACGTTATCTGCATCATCTTCGGCTTGCAGGAGTTCGAATCCCAGTGGAAAGTGTGGAAGAGATGTTGTTCTTTTGTCATGTAAGGCGTTGTTATTTTGGAAGCGATATCGACCTGAGACTCCAAGAAATGGCACAGACCTCCAAACATGTAGCTCGGTTTGTCGAGCTGCCGGCTCATTCACATTTTCGCCATCCTCAGAAAGAGGATCATAAGTAAGGCTGTCTCTCTCTTCTTCCATCCCACTGCCACCTGACAGGTTTTCGTCACAGCACTGTGACAACCTGTGAGACGTGCCAGTAATCTGAAAATGAAAATAGTGTTATAACCAAATAAACAAATTACTTTTTTGCATGTATTTTGTTACTATTAAAAATTATGACATTTTTTTATTAGAATTCGCATGTCGACTTTATGTAATACTTCGTAAAACGGGAGCATACTTTATTTTAAATTGGAATTGACAATTACTATATATTGAGTAAGAAAGATACTTAGGCAAATATACTTTTTTATATTTATTTATTTTAGATACAGGAGCAAACGTAATGAGATTATGTTACACTAATCTTACAATTGAGAATACGCTATTTATTGACAAATTCCACAGTCTTGGCTTTTACCTTGACTCGAACACCATTTATAAATATGTAACGAAAATGAGGGAACTTATTATAAGACACTGCATAAGTATAGTTTATAACTTTCAGTATTGGTCAAGTATAAAACATCCTGAACTAAAAAAACATAAACATGAAAGAGATTATTTAATAATTAAAAGGCTTTCTATTTGATTGTAAATTTTACATTGAGACATTATAAATGCTACATTGAGAACAAGAGATTTTCCAAAGGTTTCAAGCATCGCTTTATAAAGTAAACTAAGCTGTTCGTTTTTCAAACTGTTTTATATGCACATAGACACACTTTGTAAGGATATCCCATATATACTCAATTAAATCTTAATCAGGAGAGTTTGTAGACCAGTTCATAATCGTGTTACATTCACGTTCAATTTATTCTATAGTGACATTAGCATTGGGAATGACTACTGGGACACACCAGTTATTTTATAATGCCGGTCGGCAAATGGAATAATACCAGATTTTAACGCTTCTATGTAAAGCTGAGCATTTTGCATGCATTCCATTAACACAAATTCAACGTCGTTTTTGACTGAAAACGCTCTCTTAAATGGATGTTGAAAAAAATGTGATGCTTCTTCTGAAGATTGTGCCATTATATTCTATTTGAACCATTTAGATTGAACTTCTTGCCATTACATAATTTTCCGTGCTCTCCTTGTTTTTTGCTAAATTGACACAGTTGTTCGATTTACCGAAAACATGCCCGACACTTATGTAAGCGATATTAAGATTTCAAAGGCCCCTAAAGCATAATTCACTTATTTTATCTTTCTCGAAGAAAGTGATGACGGACTGTTGTGGTCATTTTCAGTGGTCATCGTGATCGTTTCATAATGCTGAATTCTTTAAAATAGTTATTAATGATGGCTATAGGTCTTTCAAATTTTTATGTTGTAGCACTAATAACGTACTGATGTTCTCTTCATAAGTCAAATTATTCGTCTTCTGTTCTACTTTAGTGAGATTTGTTCTTCCCACCATTTTCCAAACGAAAGAATTGCAGTAAATGATAAATAAAAACTAGGAGTTAGATTATTAGAAAGTTAGAAAAACTTCTGGAAAATATTGCATTTGCTCATTTTCCCACGGGGAAGGACTACAGTTAAAAAAAAACTGTAGGAATGCGGCGAAAGAGACGAATTTGTCTCCTCAAAACTTCCCACAGGCATCAGAGCTTATCATTTGTTATGCAATGGAATTGTACTTCCTTACCACCAACTACTGCGGTTTCTTTCTCTTTTTCTCTTGTACATGTCCTACAAAAGAGTGATTTTATAAGTAATTATTATATATCACAATAAATACTAATAAAAAGGAATGTCTTTAAGTTAATCCCTATTAAATCAACTTTTATAAAATTAAAGTCAACGTCAGCAAAAAATGTAGAAAGAAAAATGCTGTTCAGTTAGAAATATTATTCATTCATTTTTCATTTATTTTTCCTTTGTTAACTTACTAATATTAGATTATTAAAGTAAATGCAACGGTCGTTATAGCGATTGGTAAAAATGTCTCTCCTGAGTCAGTAAGTAAAAAATTAAGAATATTTGACGTCTGAAATAAATAAATAACATGTAAATAAAAAATAGTAGAAAAATAGAATTACATTTAATATCAAGTGATTTAAAATTTGCTTTCTGACCTGGAAAAGAGCATTTTCACTTGTACCAATATGTAGTGTGGATAAAAGGAAAAAGAACGACAATTTTGAAAATGTAAGTTTCCTTCGGGATTCAAAACTCGATTTGTTAACTTGAACGAAAGAAAATATAATGTTACAAGTACGGAATGTGTGTACATGCAATTAGTTTGTTCAGTTATCTAAATTTTCGGGTAACAAATACATTCCGAGGACAAAGAACTTAATATTGGGAAAATACAGGGTTTTTCAAAAAGAATACGCCAAAATCATTACGCTGCTTTTTCAGGTCTATAGCATTGTCGTGGACTGAATCAGTGGTTATTTGATAGAGATCAAAATTTGATTATCAAAATTTGATTGGGAATTGTGGGAAGATCAATCAAAATGGAGGCCTCGGCAGAAGGCGTTTTGCACAAACGCCATTGTCACGGTTCAGTCGTTAGTATAACTTCCGGTTGAATTGGGAAGATCAATCAAAATGGAGGCCTCATTTTTGCGTTCGCGAAAACAAACGCCATTGTCACGGTTCAGCCCCAGAATTCGACATTGATCCGATCGCATTTCGACGGTGGGTTAGACAGTTTAAAGAGAGTGGGTGCCTGTGTAAAGGAAAGTGTAGTGATATGCAAATTAGTATAATTTGCATATGAGCAGGTAGCTCATAAATGGACACCAACGAGAACGGAAGTGGAATAAGAACTTAGTGGATACACGACATAACAATGGCGTCGCCGATAGGATACTCTTTGGTCCTTGAAGACCCAGAGTACGTAGACACGTGGATTCGTTGCTTTGCTGCTAATGCTAGATGTAAAAAGTTGAAAGACAACAAAAACAGAGGAGGGGAAAATGAAATCACCGACTTGTTCATGGCTACCGCTGGTTGTGAAGCGATTATGAAGGTTGCTACAATGGTTTACCCTCGAGAACTAGAAGAAATGACTTTCGAAGAAATAAGTCAGGTTATTAAAGGAAACATGAGGCCAAAGAAAAGACTGGTGATTGCAGAAAGGACCAAGTTTATGGCAATGAAGCAGGAAGTGGATGAACCGATAGTAAAATATTTACACCGGTTAAGAAGTGCGAGTAAATACTGTGAATTCGAAAACTAGGAACAGGCGAGCAGACAACGGAAGAAGAATTAATCCAACTAAGATTAATTGAAGGTATGCATAATTCGGCACATAGATATAAGTTAATGGAACAGTTACAACTTACAAACATGCCTTTGAATATGTGTATAGAATTTATACAACAACAGGAATTAATACATACCTACAACCAAAATAAAAATAAATCCTACGAAGAAACAATGGCTGAAACATATACGATACAAACAAAAAAAAAAAAATTGCGTACTGTGGAAAAAATTCATGAAATGAAAAAGAAAAATGCCCAGCCTTTGGAAAGACGTGTTCAAAGTGTTTTAAAAAAAATCACTTCAAAGAAGTATGTAAAACGAAAATGTGGAAAGAGTAGAGGATGAAAATAGACAGATTTTTAATGTAAAAAAGGATAATATACAAAATACTGGATCTAAGAACGGAGATACAAAAATAAAAGTGAAAATCAACGACTGTATTGTCGAAATGCAAATCGACACAGGTAGTGACGTCACGATAGTACCCAGAAATTTGTGGGAAAAATGGGAAAACCGTTTTTAAAAAAACCAACGTACAACTACGTCAGTTTGATGGCTCGATTATAGCAATTATGGGTTACTTTGAAGGTTCAATAGAATTAAAAGAAAATATGAAATAGTACCCATTATAGTTACAAATTGCCGAAAAACGCATGGACTACTGGGGAATGACGTGTTAAAAAATAAATTCAACGAAGTTGATTAATGAGATAGAAATAGAAAAAACAGGAAAATTAAAAAACTATGAAGCTAGCCTGAAATTAAAAGAAGATGTTTCCCCCTCCTACTACGAAGCGAGAAAAATACCAGTGCATTTATTACCATTGGTAATAGCTAAATTGCGAAAGCTAATAAAGGAAGACTTATTAGAACCTGCCCCTCCAGGAGGAAGTAAATGGGCATCACCCATCGTGGTATTGAAAAAAAAAGATGGTGACCTGAGAATTTGTGGAGATTATAAAATAGGGTGAACCATAAAGTTTGTGCTGACTCGTACCCTATTCCAAATGTGGAAGTAGCTTTACATAAGCTTGCTGGAATGAAAGTATTTTCGAAGATAGACCTAAAATCAGCTTACCACCAAATACCGATAAATGAAAATTTTAAAGAAGTGACGACTATAAACACACCTATAGGCTTGTTAAGGTGGAAAAAGAATGCCGTATGGCATAAAAACGGCAAGTGCAATTTTTCAAAAAGCTATTGAAAAAGTAATAGGAAATGTTGAAAATACCATCTGTTATCAAGACGATATATGTTTGGAGATTTAAATGAAGATGATTTAAAGAAAAAAAACTGAAAATATACTGAACCGGCTGAGAGACGCTGGTATGACAATAAATACAAAAAAGTGTGTAACCAACAGTAATGAAATATCATTTTTGGGTTACTCAATATCAAAGGAAGGGATCTCTCCAGATAAAGTACTAATAGAGAAAATTCTAAAAGTTGCTACACCAAAAAAAAAAAAGAATTGAGTCCTTCTTAGGTTTGGTAAATTTTTATAGAAAATATGTACCAAAATATAATGAGTTGACAGAGCCATTTGCTAAGTTAAGAAAAAAAAAATGTGGAATTCATTTGGTTAGAACACCAACAGAAAGCCTTTGAAAACTTAAAACAGATTCTGGCAAAAAAGCCAATAGTACAAATTTTTGACCCTAAGAAGGACATAACTCTAACTACTGACGCTAGTGAGCAGTCCATATCTGGTATTTTGTCACAAGATGGGCATCCCATAATGTATTTATCAAGGAGATTAACAACAACTGAACACAATTATTCGAATATAGAAAGGGAGGCACTAGCCATAGTGTGGACAACGCATAGAGCAAGACAGTTTTGATGGGGAAAAAATTTTGTTGAAAAGTGAT